ACCCGGAACTTCCATTTCTTGGTCCATCAATGGGTCTCATGACAACTTATTACCATCCATACCACAACCCACTCAAGCAAGCCCCGGGCATTCGAGTGGCTTGGGCCCACTTAGGCTTGTAGCGTGGTTGGGTGTGTAATAATGATTTCCTGCTTGGCATGGCATATCGCTTGGCATGCTTTTATTATTATGCTTGATGAGATAATTAGCATGGATTTGCAGAGCTAATGCACTTTATAATCTTAATCTTGATTCATAGCATGACGGATTATTTATTTGGCATGGCACGTGGAGTGTGACTCGTGCGAGCGTGCATGACAGACTTTCGCGTGCTCCAAGTCGGGTTTTTCTTAATAAGGCGTCGTACTGGGCTGGGAATTTGTTCGGGCCCAACCTTGGATTTTTTGGGCCTCAACATTAGCCCCCTTAATTATTAGGGCTATGAACAGGTGCTGGAATGGGCCGAATAATTAAACCCGACCCAAAAATCAAATTCATAAGCTCCAGCAGTTATTTGTGGTCTCTCAAATACCAACTTCTTCCTTCTTCTTTTTTCATTTATTATTTCTTCCTTCTTCTCCTTCCTCTTTACGTGCACCAGAGTAACCCTCTCCCCATCACCTTCATCTTCTTTTTCCTTTTTCTTCCTCCAACGAACTCAGAGTGAGAGAGAGAGAGAGAGAGAGAGAGAGAGAGAGAGAGAGAGAGAGAGAGAGAGAGAGAGAGAGAGAGAGAGAGAGAGAGAGAGAGAGAGAGAGAGAGAGAGAGAGAGAGAGAGAGAGAGAGAGAGAGAGAGAGAGAGAGAGAGAGAGAGAGAGAGAGAGAGAGAGAGAGAGAGAGAGAGAGAGAGAGAGAGAGAGAGAGAGAGAGAGAGAGAGAGAGAGAGAGAGAGAGAGAGAGAGAGAGAGAGAGAGAGAGAGAGAGAGAGAGAGAGAGAGAGAGAGAGAGAGAGAGAGAGAGAGAGAGAGAGAGAGAGAGAGAGAGAGAGAGAGAGAGAGAGAGAGAGAGAGAGAGAGAGAGAGAGAGAGAGAGAGAGAGAGAGAGAGAGAGAGAGAGAGAGAGAGAGAGAGAGAGAGAGAGAGAGAGAGAGAGAGAGAGAGAGAGAGAGAGAGAGAGAGAGAGAGAGAGAGAGAGAGAGAGAGAGAGAGAGAGAGAGTTAGATCGGGCAACAACCACCTGTTTTTAGCCGCTAGAAGGGAGTTCGAGCCGAATCCGACTCCGTCATCTTCCTGTACGAGGAAATCCGCTTGCCGTTGCTGGAAGAGATTGTCTCTGTGCAGAATTTTCTTCCAAAATTCCAAATTCCTACTTTCTTGGTGCATCTGAGGCTATCCTTTGAGGGATTAATGAGGTATACCCTTTTCTCTTGCAATTTCTTGAATCTATTGAGGGGTTTGTTGGGTTCTTCATCCTCATGGGGTTTGCCCACTTGCTGTTGTTGGAGGAGATTGTCTTTGTGCAGGCTTTACTTCCAAAATTTCCAATTCCTTCTTTCTTGGTGCATCTGAGGCCATCCTTTGAGGGGGATTCCTTCGTGAAACGAGGTATTCCCTTTTCTCTTGCAATTTCTTGAATCTATTGAGGGGTTTGTTGAGTTCTTCATCCTCATGGGGTTTTGCTCTTCGTTTTGGCAGCCAAGCACCAGACCCCTTTGACCCATCTTGTCATTGCCGCAACGAGGGTACTCACGACGTGGGTGCTAGCAAGGAAGGGCTCGTGTCAGTTTTGGGGGTTCTCTTCTTTTCGATTTCTTTCTTTTGCAAGCTGCTGGAAGAGGGTCCAATTTCAAACTAATAAAGGTTTGGTAACCAGAGAATTAACATGACATGCTCCCAGGGACGGACCCAGGATTTCAAAATGGCATGGGCTAAATTTACCTTACGTACAAACCTATTGAAAACTCAACTGTACGAGTAAATTTCATTGATAACAAAAAAATACATGGGGGGGACATAATGAGCCTTACTGATAAGTGCATTATTTACTATATTTTTATATCTCTTTTATTTGGTTTTTGTAGGGAAAGTCAATTTAAAATAGCATTATTATCTTACTTTCCTTATTTTCAGTTATTCTGCGCTCTTGGAAGGATTTCAACTGAAAATCAACTTTTCGAATGAATTTTAGCGCAAGGCCAATTGGAGAAGAAAGCTAAGACATTGAAGATCATTGTGTCAAAGTTTCATAATTTTCTGCCAAGCCAAATGCTCCAGACATGCAAGTCAAGACAGCCTAAGTTGAAATCCCGTCAGAATTGCACTGCTGTGGAAGATTGAAGATTTGAAGACCTTTCCGATTTTTCCTAGTGGCGTGTAATATATACTTGGAAAGCTTAGAGATAAAGCTACGTTTCTGATATTTTTCCAGAATTTTCTAGGAAGTGGAACGACCCCAAAACGTGCGTGCAAGATGGCTGACGTGTTTCCAACTCAAAGAAGGATTCTTTCCTAATTTGTTTCCTTAATTGTTTGGGATTTCGTTTTGCTTTAGGAGAGTTTTTCCAGACCTTTTAAGAGTAGGGTTTAGTTGTTTTACAATATATAAGGTCACCCTAATCATCTTTTCCAGGATCATCCTCCCATATACCATACTTTTCCACCAACTTTCATACACCCAAAGAAACATCAGAGAGAGCCAAGGATTTGCTGCTGCACTACTTGAGGAGCTTTCGAAGGTGTTCCTGTGGAGACTCGGAAGATCAAGTCCATCTGCCAAATCGGTTTTATGACAACAATTCTCTTGTTTATCTTTTCTTTTGTCATGAACTAATTATCCTTGCTAGGGCTACGATGTAGCCTAACCATGAATACTTAATTTTTATAGTTATATTAATTTCTGATTATTAATTTCTAATTTATAGTTATATTAATTTCTTAAACACTCTTCGATTTTGTTCTTAATTAGTTTGCTCTCATTAGGTTTGTATTGGATACTAAAGAATTCTCTTATTTTTGTAGGTGCGTCGCTTCCAAGTTGGATGGACCATGAGAGATGATGTTAGGCTATGCATGTTTTCACCCTCTAAAAGACCTTTCATCCTACCCTTTTGTGTGCGTCATTAGCCCCTTTGTAACCAA